GGGGGGGGGAGAAAGGCGAGACGGGAGGGGCATTGGGAGAAAGCAGAGGGGTTGGGTAGGGAGGACGTGAGGAGAACAAAAGGAGCAGAGATTAAGAGAGGGGAGTGTGACCGGCGGCATGGGGGGAGGTAGTGTGCGGGTAGCAAGAAGAGTACCACAACAGGTACACTTGTTCCACGGAACAAGTATTTCAGGCACGCCTGTGGGCAGTAGGCAAAGTGGGAAGCATTCAGTACTTCATCACTGGCCTCCCTCCTGCCTGCATGCCCTCTCCCTAGCTTGCTCAACGTTATACTTCCTCACATCTTGCTTACAGATACTCTCTTTCCAACCCTCCCCCGGTTGTGTCTTTCCTCACATCTTGCTTACAGATGAAGGGGGGAAAGGGGGGGAAAGAGGACGGGGGATTGGGGAGGAAAGGGAAGTTGGGACGAGGAAGGGATGACATGAGATGCAAGTGGAGAGTGGGAGGAAAATTAAGTCAAGCAGAGTGGGGAGGGGATCAAAAAGCGAAAGGAGAAAATCACCTGCTCGCTCTGAAGCTATGGCACCATGTATCATCACTCTGCACCGCACTACACCTGGTGGAAGCGTAGAGTTGTATGAGGGGGTCGGTGGAAAGAGCTTGCAGTCAGCGAGAGAGCGACGGGGTGGCCTGCCACACTGTGTGGCGATGCTGGTGAAGGGGAGGGGAGCGGGAAGGGGGGAGGGGGCGGGGAGAAAGGGGAAGAAGGGGAGAGCGGGGGGGGGGAAGGGCGAGAGAGCCAGGGGGTGGCAACGCTGGTGGGAGGAAGGGGAGGAGGGAGATGTGGGAAAATATGGGTGGGGAGAGGGGGTTTGAATAGAAGGGGGGACAGGACGAGGGGAGGGCAAAACTATAAGCGAGAGAACCAAGATGTGCTAAAGAGCGAAGTAAAGAGGAGATTGGGGAGGAGGGGAGCACGGAGGAGAAGAAGGGGGAAATTCAGGTGAGAGGCGTGATGGGAAGAAAAGGGCGGGTGGAACAGAGGAGGAAACACCAACGTCGAGAGCAGAGAGAGGAGAGCACAGCGAAGTGGTGTGTTCTGCTCATGGTCAACGAGTGAGGGAAGGAGACAAGTATTGTAAGAGCACGCTGCCTGGGAAGGGAACGAGAGGGCGGAAAGACGGGTGTGTTCTGCAGCTGGTACATGAGAGAGGGAAGGACACAGAAGGTGGATGGAAGAGAGGGTGGAGGGTGGCGGGGGAAGATGAAGAAGGGGAGAGAAGTTGGAGTGGAGAGAGTGTGGAAGTGGTAGAGGGGTAAAGGGGAGAGAGGGTGGAGGGGAGAGAAGGTGGAGGGGAGAGAGGGTGGAGGGGAGAGAAGGTGGAGGGGAGAGAGGGTGGAGGGGAGAGAAGGTGGAGGGGAGAGAGGGTGGAGGGGAGAGAGGGTGGAGGGGAGAGAGGGTCGAGTGGAGAGAGGGCGGAGGGGAGAGAGGGTCGGCAGAGAGAGAGGGTGGAGGGAGAGAGGGTGGAAGACGGATGGAGCGGACACGAGTAGGAGAGTGGCGGGCGAAGAATGTGGTGCGATCAGACCTTCCCTTCCCTCCTCCCATCTCCCCCCTCTCTCCCCACTCCCCTTCCTCCCCTCCCATTGCACCTCATGCTTCTGACCCTCTTGCCATTCCCCTCTTGCCATTCCCCTCTTGCCATTCCCCTCCTTCCATTCCCCTCTTGCCATTCCCCTCTTGCCATTCCCCTCTTGCCATTCCCCTCTTGCCATTCCCCTCTTGCCATTCCCCTCTTGCCATTCCCCTCTTGCCATTCCCCTCTTGCCATTCCCCTCTTGCCATTCCCCTCTTGCCATTCCCCTCCTGCCATTCCCCTCCTTCCATTCCCCTCTTGCCATTCCCCTCCTGCCATTCCCCTCCTTCCATTCCCCTCTTGCCATTCCCCTCCTGCCATTCCCCTCCTTCCATTCCCCTCTTGCCATTCCCCTCCTGCCATTCCCCTCCTTCCATTCCCCTCTTGCCATTCCCCTCCTGCCATTCCCCTCCTTCCATTCCCCTCTTGCCATTCCCCTCCTGCCATTCCCCTCCTGCCATTCCCCTCTTGCCATTCCCCTCCTGCCATTCCCCTCCTTCCATTCCCCTCTTGCCATTCCCCTCTTGCCATTCCCCTCCTGCCATTCCCCTCCTTCCATTCCCCTCTTGCCATTCCCCTCTTGCCATTCCCCTCCTGCCATGGTGTCATCTCTTCTCCATCCCCTTTTACACCCCCCCCCCCCCCCCCGCCTTTGTTACTCACGTGTTCCCATCGCCGGATGTCAGGTTCCAAGCCATGGCAGATGACGCCTTCCCCACATTCGGCCTGTACGTGACTTCCACTGCCATAAACATACCCATAGACATGCCAGTGCCCGTGCCCATCCCCATGCACATGCCCATGCCCATGCTTATGCCCATACACACGCACAGAGGGAAACAAGGTGAGTCATTCAGAGGGATTCGAAGGGTTCTGGACAATGAAGCCATAATAGACGACAGCTTCCCCACACACGCACTTGCTCACGAGCCCACGGGGGATCATCTCAGAGGTACAAGGCATGGCGGAGGATAACGGGTTGAGTCATGCAGAGAGGTTTGGTTCGGGTTCACGACATTGAAGCACATGCTCACGAGCGCACAGTGGGTGAACAAGATACGGCGTAGGATAACAAGGTGAGTCAATCAGGGGCGTGTGGGGGGGTTCACTGTTCACTTCACTGCCATGGCAGATAACGAAGGCACACCGAAGATGTGGCAATAGTATTGATATCAGAGGGCCAGACACACGCAAGCACGCACGCGCGCACACACACGCACGCACGCACGCACGCAAACACGCTCACACGCGCGAGAGCACACACACACACACACACACACACACACACACACACACACACGGTCATATCCATCCTCTCGTCTGCCCACACCACACCCCCTTCCCCTCGCCCCACACTCATGCACCCACCATCAGCAGTGAAGGTCCAGAACGGTTGGAACATGGCAGCGAGAGCCACAGACGAGTCCACGTCAGCAATGGCGGGCGCCAGCAGGTGTCCCGTCAGGTGCTCTCGCAACAGAGCCCGGGCCTCCTCAGGTGTCACCTGGAACGGCACCGCAATTGGCGTGCGCGGTCGCACTCCCCCCGCCTGTTGTGCATAGCTGCGCGTTTGCTGCCTTCCTGCCGATCATAGCCGCCGCCTCCGCCGCTGCAGGTGGCGCTTTTGAGGCTCCTGAAATAAAAATCCGCCGCTCCCAGGATGTAGTTGTTGCTGTTGCTGACGTGTTCGGCGATCCACGTGGACGGCTGGGATGCGCTACTGGTACTATATGCAAAGGCGGTGCGCGATATCGGTTTTTGCGACGCCTCAAAGGCAGGGCTAGCAGAGGCCGCAATGACAGTGCGCGCAAACGGCGGGAAGAGTGGAGGAGGGGAGGGAGGGAGGAAGGGAGCGAGAGGCGAGGGCGGTGAGGAGGTCAGGTGGGGCGGAGAAGCCAGCGGCGGTAGACGCGGTGGGACCTGGAGCAGCCGCGCGTGGCGAAGGGATTGCTGCCAAGCTTGAGACCTCTCAAAACGCGCTAACTTTTGAGTCGACTGACGACTCGGTCCCAGTGCAGTGACGAGCTCGGCTCGAGTCGCGGTGTTTGCGGAAGCACGGGCTGGCGTGGAAGAGAAGGAACGGAAACCAGCGAGGTGGAATGTGACCAGGGCGGATTCAGACTGGATTCGGAACGGCGACACGCACATCCGCGAACAGGATGGCTCGAGATTTCATTCCGAACGACACTTTGCTGACGGAAACCTAGCGATGGAGTTGATCACTACTGGAGTTGACATGCTTGGGAGGGGGGGGTAGGAGGTTGCGAGGAGAGGGGGGATTCTACCGAGGTCGACCCTTTGTGACACTGTACGAAACTCCACAGGTGTCTCGCTTGACATTTCGTCCTCGGGGAATTTAGCACAGACCCTGCGCTCCACGGGATATTATGCAAAACGATTTCGTAGAGGAAGGCGATTGGTTCGCCTCACTGATGGCTTGTTTGGCCACAAGACGGAAATCGTCAACGAGTCACGATGCCCGTGGTAACCGTCAACCTTCCGTTTGGTTTTCTTGTCGGCGAACCTGGTTGTGGGGAAAAGTTGCAGATTTGTATGTTGGGAAAGGGAAGATCGATGGCTGCACAATTTCCCCCTCCAAGTTCCCCCTTTGAATTCAAGCTCTTGAATCCCAAAACTTCAGCTGGACCAATCTCTACGCAGACTGGAGAACCATGTGTCGAAATGCAATCTCAGGGTTTTCACAGCGCATCGTCAGCTTCCATGGCGACAAACCTCTTGAGCTCCTCGTTTCGTCCTTCAAGCAGCGGATTCCGTGATGCAAAGTCTCGTCCTATATAGTCCGCTTGAGACGTCGTAGCGAACTTGTAAGTCAAATTGAAGAACCAGCAAGTGATTAGTCATCCCGATCTCTTTTGCTTCACACGAATTCAGTCGTCTCGCTCACCGTCGCCATGCCACTTGGAAACCGTATCTTCAAGAGCGTGTTGCCTTTTCTGCTCGTCCTTTTTGGTACTATAATAGGCAGCCTTTAAGCGTTTCGTTTGCTCGGGAAAGGTCAACGTCTAATACCTCGTCGCGCGTTTTTCAGGAGTGTGCTTCGCTCATGGAGCGAAGACCTCGATCTACAAGTTGTGGGACTCCCCCTTGCTGCAAAACAAATATGTCATGTCGCCTGACAACGTCTGGAATGCTTATCCACCAGCTAGTGTTGTCGTCTCACTCGACGGTACCGGCAACTTCACGTCCGTCCAAGACGCAGTGGATTATGTGTCCTCGGCGGCTACAACAACGCACGCGGTTATCAATATACTACCAGGAACATATAGGTGGGAAGTGTTAACTGTTTGCACTGTGAATTATGCACTTTCATTGAGGATGTTTGACCCAGCAAGCGACACAGGGAGAAGGTCCTGATTCCGAAGTCCAAAGTGAGCATAATGCTCCGTGGGTCCAACCCGTTGGAAACCATCATCACCTACGATGACTACGCTGCAAAAGAGGTGGCCAACGGATACGTCTTGGGAACTTTGTGGTCCTGCTCAGTCTGCGTTGAAGCCAACAACTTCGTTGCTTTCAACATCACCTTTCAGGTCAGTGTTCTTCCGTCTCCTCTTGTAATATTGCTTGGATAGCATCTTCCATTGCGAAATTCCTGACGTCTTTTGTGCCATACAGAACTCAGCGCCTCCACCGCCGCCGCTTAGTAATGTGACAGCCAATGGTCCAATGGCGGTGGCCCTCCGCATTTCCGGGACGATGGCTGCATTCTACAGCTGCCGTTTCATTGGATGGCAGGACACCCTCTATGATCATAAGGTAAGCACTCGGCATGCCTACGTGTGCAACAAGCATCTGGTTGTAGAGGTTATAGTTTTCTCACACCTGTTGAGTTCTGCAGGGCCTTCACTACTTTCGAGATTGCTACATTGAAGGAAATGTTGATTTCGTATTCGGCGATGCAACATCCGTGTATGAGGTAACTTCTCTGTTGATTAAAGGCCCAGTTCTTCTATCATGGATGTCTAACAATGCCATCACCTGCAGGGATGTGTCTTCTATGTCAAAGCCAGAAAGCATAGCGGAGCAGTAGCAGCACAGTACAGGAGGTCAACGACTAAGCGGTCTGGCTTCGTTTTCCTTCGCAGCATTATATCAGGGAATGGTCAGGTGAGTAGATCGACGAGCTGCATTGCCTCATTGTAACTGCAAGTAAGGAACTTCCACTGTGATCACTTGTTTCAGGTTTACCTGGGAAGGGCTTGGGGAAATGCGAGTAGGACTGTTTATGCTTGGTCCTATATTAGTAACGTTGTTAAAGAAGAAGGCTGGTACGACTGGGGTGATGCATCCAGACACAACACCACCTTCTTTGCCATGGTAAGTGACGGTCCGTCCATCAAAATACTATTTTATTTTTCTGCATATGGTTTTCTGGATCCTAGTTAACCGCTGGTCCTACTTCCAGTTTGACTGCTGGGGACCTGGAACAAATACAAGCGGGTGGGTGCCATGGAGCCATGTGCTCAACACCTCCCAGGCGCAGCCGTTTCTCTCGTACAGCTTCATTGATGCTTGTCAGTGGCTTGGTCCCCTGCCTCAAGGAGCTGGGAACCTGACCTACCAGCTGGGCTACAGGGTGTGGTTTGATCACGTTCCACCAGCCCCAACATACCCCTACACTTGCTATTCTGGTAAGCTTGAAGTATTTCTGACTGTCTGATGCCTGATGTGGATTACGACTACCGTAAGTGAAATCTTATCCTTGTTGCAGGGACCCCACCAACTCCTCCAGGGCCTGTGGTTCAGCCTCCCTCAACAGCACCAAGTGGTTCACCTGTTGTTGCTCCACCATCACCACCTCCACCTGTAACTGTCTCTGGAAGCGTTCGTTTGTCTCCATCTCTCGCGTCCCTGCTTCGTGGTTATCCCCCGCCACTTCTGCAGCCACAGCAACAAGCTTCTTCAAGTTTGCCTCCTCCAGCTCCTGCTGGTTGAACAATGAACACTACTCTTTGATTTAGTGAGTCTCATGATGCAATGTGTCCTTCCCAGTCTGCTGATGGTGCAGTTGGGCCTTGGGATTAGGAAATTGGCTCTATGGTTCCAAGTTCCGTGAATGTTTAGTTGCCATTCTTTCTGACCTTTTGATCAGTTTGCTGACCAAAGATGCATCAACAATACCTTCATCCAAAGAGCTGCACATGCATGACAAAGTGTTGGTAAGGTAACCTCTTTGCTGCAAAAGCAGCGTATTACTGTAAAGGCTTGGCGTACAGCCTTTAGTCAACAGAGAAAGCACTAGCTGTTGTTGTCTCTGTAAAGCATGTGATATGACATGACTAGATCAAAAGAAGCCCTTTTGTCCACGTGGTTGGGTGGGAGTTGATAATGGATCAGTAAAAGGGACCCTGCTAGCATATGAATGCACCTACGGTACATTTCAAAATAAACTCTGATAATGATTTCTGGTCATTTGAGCAATGAGCGAGCCAGGTGATCCTTTGCTGTTGCCAAAGCTTGGGAGATGGTCTGGAGCAGGCACACACACAGACACAGACAGACACACACCGATGTGTATGTGCATGCAGACGCACACACAGAGACACACAGAAGTATGCACTCTCATACACACACCCACTCAGTCACACAACCACACACACAACCCACACATGAATTGGCAGATGAAGCGGGAGAGTCACAAAGGGGAATAATCAGCTTTGTTGACACATGGTGCCGTGTGCTTGAAACGCTGTAGTCTGGAGGCAACACTGCACGACCCATGCGAGCTTCATTGGCCGACGGATCGGGAAAATGAGTCCAGCAAGTCAGATAGGGCATAGCATGGGAGTCGAGCAAGTCAGATAGGGCATAGCATGGGAGTCAAGCAAGTCAGATAGGGCATAGCATGGGAGTCAAGCAAGTCAGATAGGGCATAGCATGGGAGTCAAGAAAGTCAGATAGGGCATAGCATGGGAGTCAAGCAAGTCAGATAGGGCATAGCATGGGAGTCAAGCAAGTCAGATAGGGCATAGCATGGGAGTCAAGCAAGTCAGATAGGGCATAGCATGGGAGTCAAGCAAGTCAGATAGGGCATGGGATGGGAGGCACGCACTGACCCAATCCAAGCGCCACTCACTCACTGTTCATTGGCCTATGACACGAGCCGTGCACTGCTGCCTCACCTGTTCGGAAAGAGGCAGGTCGGCATCGGCGCCTCTCATAGCGACTCTGTTGGCGATCACTGTGGGCTCCGTCTCCAGAATCACCCTGCCGCACAGAGGGACGAGTAGGGGTTCGGGCAGAAGAGGATCGGAGGCAGGCAGTACGGGTAGGTGAAGGCAATGTCAGTCACAGGAAATGGAGAAAGCTATTAGGTCAGAAAATGAAGGGGATGGAAGGCTATTCTGCGTAGGCAGACTCATCACCGCCTGGACATGAACAGATTGCAAGTATGCCACCAACGCTAGCTGCAATCCTGCACAGGTTAGCACATGCACAGGTTAGCACATGCACAGGTTAGCACATGCACAGGCTAGCCAAGAAAAACTGCGGTCATCCACCACAAGGGCCTACCTATAACATCCAATCAGCCATCCAACCATCCAAGCTCCAACCTATACTGATCTGCGTGCAATTCACACACACCGTAACACTTGGCACGGATTCAATGATGCACACTCCCAGTCCCCCACCACATCCCCACATCCCCCACCACATCCCCACATCCCCCACCACATCCCCACCCCACCACATCCTCAACCTACCACATCCCCCTCCCACATCCCCAGCTCTACCCAAGAGCAGAACGGAGACAGTGCGAGGACTTGCCAGTTGTCAACGAGCTCGTCGAGGCACAGCAGCACGAGGTCGAGGTTCTCTTCTCCAGCACCGTCTTCTTCTCCACGCACCATAGCCATGGCAGGTACCAACGATGCAAATTCCCAGTTCCCCTCCACATCCCCCACCACATCCCCTATCACATCCCCCACAACATCCCAGCACCACCCAGAGCGGAAAAGAGAGCGAGCAGGGACTTACCCGCCGTCCACGAGCTCGTCCAGGCACAGCAGCACGAGGTCGGGGTGGCTCAAAAGGTGGTCTTTCAGCTTTGAGTCGACTCAAAAGACACCACCCGGAGCGGAGCGGAGAGCATGCACGGACTTACCCTCCATCGACGAGCTCGTCGAGGCACAGCAGCACGAGGTCGAGGTTCTCCAGCACCGTCTTCTTCTCCACGTTGCCCCTGATGCGCGCAGAAAGGATGCCAGATAGATAACAGATTGGAAACAAAACAAAGAAAGAGAATAGGTAAGTTGACCGTATCAGGTTCCCCAGCACCGTCTTCTTCTCCACGTTGCCCCTGCTCCGCCCACCACGCGCATGCCAGATAGATAGTAAATTAGGTTTAAAAGATTGATCGACGAGATAAGAGACGAGAGTTGACAATGACAAGGACCTGTGAGGTCATGCCATGCAGGAAACAGAGTGTGCTAAGGAATGAGGGAGAACATACGAACACGCGCTGGTGCTGGTCCGAGAGTGGAATCACCTGAGGAGATGCGAGACGGCTTCGAAGAAGGCGGTGAGGACGGTGGAGAGGATGAGCTCGTTCTCCTCCTCGCCGCCCGTCACGTAGAAGTGCAGATCCGCGATGAACTTGTACACCACGATGAACCCCTCGAATATGCCGATCTCCGCTGCACGCGCCAAGTGGCACACGCCACACGCCACACGCCATACGCCACACGCGGAGAGCATGATTCGTACGTGAAACGAAAAGGTACGATTGAGATTGTTAGATACTGTTTTGAGTCGACTCAAAACACATCCATACGGGAACCCAGAAGGTGCGGTTGAGATTGTCAGCTACCGCAGCGATATTGGATTATGGGAGCAGCTGATCGCTAGGTCAAGATTTTGTCATTTAATATATCGTCGCGTGTCTTTGAAACCTCTCACTGCACTTTGAGAACGAAAAGATAAACTGCGCGTAAAGAAGAAGAAGAAAATAGCACACCTTCTGCTCTGGCATTGGCGCGTTGTGTTTTGCTCAGAAGAGATTTCTCAAAATTTAGCTTGGCTGCGAGAGTAGGCCAGTCGTCCGAATAGTACTTCACCGCTACTCGCTTCCCCTCTGAATCGAGTAGCAGGATGTTCTTTATCAACGGCGCCGACACCTGCGAGAGGTCAACCTAATGTGAGGCCGGATGAGGGAAGCTCTCAAGCAAAATGTAAAGCAGTATATTTTCGCATGTCGATACTGCGGATGCTGATCGGCGTACCTCCATGGCGATTATCACGAGGCAAGACTCCAACACTGCACACCAGAAAACCCTACTGATATATGGCACCCGGAACAACGAACCGCCGGCGTTCTAGAGGTAAACGAGTAGTAAGAAGTATTATAGTGGATTTGGAGGCTGGTGTGCTCGTGATGTATTCAGCGAATCTGCAATGGCGGGAAGCTGAGCTTGAATCTGCACTGCGAGAAACAAGTGCCAGATCAACGTGAAGGTCAGGCCTCGGATCCCGACTGATTGCTGCTGCTGAGTTAGAGTTGAATCCTCAACTGAAGCATTGACCTTGATCGGAGCGGTTTGGTCTGGTTGGACGCGCTTTATGCGCGGTATTGTGCAGTGTTTTTTTTTTTTTTTTTTTTTTTTTTTTTTTTTTTTTTTTTTTGGGTTGCGAAGCAACCTATTACGATCGATTTGGCCAGTTTTTTTTTTTCACATACATTTTATTTATTTTAAATAAAATATGAAAATAAAAAATTAAAAAAAAAACTGGATGCATTAATTGCTAGTTATGTAACATGTAGGAGGTCTTGTCTAGTTAAATTATACTAGCGTGGTGGTAGTGATTTTTTGGACAACTAGGTTGTTTTTGTGATTTACCTTTTTTTGCTTTACTACCATATAATATGCATATGAAAAAATGAATGTAATGATCGGTGAATGTAGATGAATAAAATGATATTATATAAAAGGCGATATATTGTGTAATATATGATATGATAAATGATAAATGCATGCCTTAAGTTCGATATGAATAATGATTAGTTACTGACAATCCATGATGCATATACATAATGATAAAAATGCGTGAAAGCTAACGACCCAAAAACTATGCTACCGCATCCTCTGCCTAGCATGTCGAGGAGCTGATAGCATAATCTTTGAACAATCAGCAGTCACATGAAACAACACAATCTGTGAACTCTAAAAACATGGTCAACTCTATCATCTCCAGTTCAAGTGGGCTCCCGACAGGCGCGCCAATGAACCTTTTGGTAAAAATGATAGAGCCGATACATATTTTTAAAACCCACAGACATGCATTGCTAATGAAATTATGGATGAATGAACACTCACACAAGCCAACACATTCACAACAACCAAACGCATGCACAGCAAAAAACCCAGCCGAAAATCTACGATAAGACATAAAAAATGCAAAACAAAATAAAGATGGCAATATGGGAAATCCTATAAGTGACAACTACAAATTGTCCAGATTGCACTCGTCTTCTTGATCAGCAAAACTCCTGAAAACAAAAACAAAGTAGATAAAGAGAAAAATATATCATAGAAAAGTGGTAAATATGAATAATCAGGACCAAGAGAGAGGGAACATGAGAGAGAGAGAACGAGAGAGAGAGAACGAGAGAACAAGAACGAGAAAACGAGAGAGAAAGAGAACGAGAGAGAGAGAACGAGAGAGAGAGAACGAGAGAGAGAGAACAAGAACGAGAAAACGAGAGAGAAAAAGAACGAGAGAGAGAAAACAAGAGAGAGAACGAGAGAGAGAGAACGAGAGAGAGAGAGAGAACGAGAGAGAGATCGAAAGAGAGAGGACGAGAGAGGGAGAACGAGAGAGAGAGAGAGAGATCGAGAGAGAAAGAAAACGAGAGAGAACGAGAGAGAGAACGATAGAGAGAGAACGATAGAGAGAAAACGAGAAACGAGAGGGAGAGAACGAGAGAGAGGGAACGAGCGAGAGAGAACGAGGGTGAACGATCGAGAGCGAGAGAACGAGAGTGAGATAACGAGAGAGAGAGAGAGAGAGAGAGAGAGAGAGAGAGAGAGAGAGAGAGAGAGAGAGAGAGAGAGAGAGAGAGAGAGAGAGAGAGAGAAGAGAGAGAGAACGAGAAAACGAGGGAGAACGAGAGAACGAGAGAAAGAGAGAACAAGAGAGAGAGAGAGAGAACGCGAGAGAGAGAGAGAGAGAAAACGGGAGAGAAAGAACGAGGGAGAACGAACGAGAGAACGAGAAAGAACTAGACAACGAGAGAACGAGAAAGAGAAGGAGAAAGAGAATGCTCCAACCTAATAATTTAACTCTCTGAACATAATTGCTAATAATCATCTCAAATTTCAATTAAGGAAGAGGAATAAATCAAGAAACAGCGTACGGAAGAAGACCAAAGTAAGAGCAAGAGCTGAAAAGAGCAAGCAAGTAGAATGTAAATCGAAATAAAGGAGAGAAGAAGATGGGAAGAAGTGGAGAATGTCAGATTTATATGACATAGCTACTGTAGGCTAGAGTGGGGTAGCACATATGGGGTACAGTTTTCTAGGGTTTGCTTCTTGTACCCAACTTTCACTTAGTCATTCTCATTCCTGTTTTTCTTGATTCACATGGTATAGAGCGGGTTCCTACATGGGACCGTTCCTTCCTAAGGGCCCACCATAAGATTTTTTTTTTTAGCTGCCCGCGCACATTGCGCCCTGCCCTAAATTTTTTTTTTTAGCGGCCCCTACGCTGCCTCTACGCGGCCCCTACGCCGCCTCCCACGCGCCCCCTATGCGGCCCCTGGCGGCGCCCTGACGAGGCCCCTGCCGGCGCCCTATCGCGGCCCCTGACGCGCCCCCTGGTGGCGCCCTGACGCGGCCCCTGGCGGCGCCTGACGCGGCCCTGACGCGGCCTGACGCGGCCCCTGGCGGCGCCCTGACGCAGCCCCTGCCGCGGCCCTGACGCGGCCCTGCCGTGGCCCCTGACGCGGCCCTGACGCGGCCTGCCGCGGCCCCTGCCGCGGCCCTGAAGCGGCCCCTGACGCGGCCCTGACGCGGCCCTGACGCGGCCCTGCCGCGGCCCCTGGCGGCGCCCTGACGCGGCCCCTGACGCGGCGCCCTGACGCGGCCCCTGCCGCGGCCCTGACGCGGCCCTGCCGCGGCCCCTGACGCGGTCCTGACGCGGCCTGCTGCGGCCCCTGCCGCGGCCCTGAAGCGGCCCCTGACGCGGCCCTGAAGCGGCTCTGCCGCGGCCCTGACGCGGCCCTGACGCGGCCCCTGACGCGGCCCCTGCCGCGGCCCCTTACGCGGCCCTGACGCGGTCCTGCCGCGGCCCCTGGCGGCGCCCTGACGCGGCCCCTGACGCGGCGCCCTGACGCGGCCCTGCCGCGGCCCCTGACGCGGCCCCTGCCGCGGCCCCTGACGCGGCCCCTGACGCGGCCCCTGTCGCGGCCCCTGACGCGGCCCCGCCACCTACCTTTCTGGCCCCGCCGCCTCCTCTCAGCGGCCCCGCCGCCTCCTCTCAGCGGCCCCGCCGCCTCCTCCCAGCGGCCCCGGACGCCGCCCTCTCAGCGGCCCCGCCGAGCCGCCCAGCAGCCTAGCCGCCCAGCAGCTGAGCCACCGAGCCGCCCAGCAGCCGAGCCGCCGAGCCGCCCAGCAGCCGAGCCGCCCAGCAGCAGAGCCGCCGAGCCGCCCAGCAGCCGAGTCGCTGAGCCGCCCAGCAGCCGAGCCGCCGAGCCGCCCAGCAGCCGAGTCGCCGAGCCGCCCTGCAGCCGAGCCGCCCGAGCCGCCCTGTCCGGTAAGAGCAGCGCCTCTCTCACAGCACTGCCCTCACCCCACTGTTTGCGCTGCTAGTCTACTACTGTCATGGCTACCCCTAGTGTCCTCGCTTTTGACGCTGAGGGTCGGGCCATTGACTTTGACGTCTGGATAGATGACCTGCAGCTTTTCTTACAGTGCGATAGGGCAGACGGCCTCTCCCTCTTTGACCTCACTTCTGGTGCCTCTCCTGCTCCCGCCACTGATGCTGACGCAACTGTTCGCTCCCAGTGGGCCACGCGCGATGCTGCTGCACGTCTTGCTGTGCGTCGCCACCTGCCTACCTCTGAGCGTGCGCACTTTAGCCAGTACAAGAGTGCTCAGACCTTGTACGACGCTGTAGTTGCACGCTACTCCTCCCCTGCCACTGCTGCACTGAGCCGCCTCATGCTACCGTACCTCTTCCCTGACCTTGCTGCCTTTCCCACAGTCGCTGACCTCATTACGCACCTCCGCACTAGTGACACTCGCTACCGCGCTGCGCTTCCTGCTGAGTTCTGCGCCAAGAACCCCCCCCCCATGTACATCACCCTCTACTACATCGTCACCCGTCTCCCTGACTCCCTTCGCGTAGTCAGGGACCACTTCCTCTCGGTTTGTCCCACCACTCTCACCGTTGACCTCCTCGAGAAGGCCCTCCTAGCAGCAGAAAAGAGCATAGTCGCTGTAGGAGCCTCTCGTGGTGACCCTCGCACCCCCATCTTTGAGGGGTGTTCCCCCTCCCCTCTTTTGCCCTCTGTTGCCCTCTGTTGCCTCTGCTGCTGCGGCCGACCTCGCTGGTTTGGAGTCGGTTGGGGCAGCGTCTACCCCTAGCGGGAGACGCCGCCCTGGCAGGGGCAAGGGGGGCAGGGGCGCTGGAGAAGCTAGCGGGGGCGGTGGAGGCGGCGGTGGAGGTGGTGGAGGAGGTGGGGGTGGCGGTGGGAGTGGTGGCGGGGGTGGAGGTGTAGGTGGCGGCAGTGGAGGCGCAGGAGGCAGCGGCGGTGGCGGAGGGAGCGGAGGTGGCGGCGGTGGAGGAGGAGGCGGCGGAGGAGGTGGAGCTGGTCGGGGTGGCGCTGCGCAGAGGATCAGCTCCGGTGGTGGCCAGCGCCAGCAGCAGCAGCAGCAGCAGCAGCAGCAGCGCACTCGTGACGTCCCCTCCCCTCAGCAGCTCCGTGAGTGGTACACTGCACGCCAGAGGGGTGGGGGTGCTGGTCCGTGCACCTACGTCCTGCGCACCGGCGACCGCGCGGGTGAGCAGTGCGGGGGTGCGCACTCCACCCAGCGCTGCTTTGGCCGCCTCACGGACGCTTGGCGTCACCAGTTCCCTGAGGCCACTGAGATCCCCCGCTGGGGTGAGCTGTCTAGGGCGGGTGTAGCTGTCTTTGACCTTGACTTTGATGCTATTCTTGCTGCCGTGTATACTGTGACTATTAGTGATGAGGGTGACTGTTACCGGTGTTTTCCGCCCGACCCGGGCA